CCTTTCAGAGAGTGTTTTTTGAATGGTATCCCCTGGTCTCTCTTGTTGGGACCTTGGTTATTTTATTTTCCTATTCATAGTGATATTTGGGACTCTCCACCTTGTGTACTCTGGCTTGTTTCTTGAGGTAGCCCTGGAAAAGAAAACAGACAGACAAACACACAGGGAGCAGGAGCACACAAACGCACAGGCTAATTCAACTAACATGCAAAATGAGAGGGAAAACGAAAAAGTTAAGAGAAAAGATGGAGGAGGGAAGGCGAATAATAGGGAGTATAAAATACATAAAAGGGTCAAAAAGGAGAAAAGAAAAGGAAAAAAGAAGAAAACCGATGGACAAAGAAATGTTTCAAGCACATAACCGGATTTTCCAGCTACAGTTAAATAGCGGTGTGTATGCAGTGCTGGTTGAAGAGCATAGAGAAGGAGAGAGAAGACCGGGTGGGATGAGGCCCAACTGGAAATAGAATGAACAGGCAGAAGGGATACGAAGCTTTTTCAAAGAGGTAAAGGGTAGAATATGTTTGGATAGGTGAGAGAACAATGCTGGTATTATCCAGAGAAACTATATAGTCTAATTACTCCTGAGAGAAAGAGATGAAAAGGTCGGGAGGTGTAGAATTTACATCTACAGAATGGACTAAATTTGATTGTTTAAGTACACCGGTGACCAAAGGTAATCAGGTCAGTGTTCTGTGGAAAAAAAGAAAAGAAAAAAAACCAAAACCAAAACCAAACCAAAACAAAAAGAAACAGAAACAACACACACAAAAAAAGGGGGAAAAGGGAGGAGGGCAGCTCTCAGCAGGGATGGGTGTGGTGTGATCCAATGAGTCAGGCGGGAGTTCTGCCTGGAAGTTGTAGGGAGGAGAGTGGTGGTGCTCCACCTCGCTTTTATAGGCGTGTAAACTTCCTGAGCCAGAGGCTCAGCCAAAGTTTGTGCGCTTTTCAACCCAGGCCAGTTCCAGCCTCCAAATCCTAGGCCAAGCACCCCGCTGAAATTGCCTCAGGCGATCCCCTGGCTTTCCCCTCAGGGCGATTCTAAACTTCCAGGCTGGCTCTGGGGGTGGAGCCAGAAGCCTCTGCTCCTTTCTCCTCCGAGTGGGGCTGGGGGGCCTGGGCGGGGCAGGGGGCTTTGTCTGACGATGCGCTGAGCCCACTGGAGTGAGGAGATCAAGTTCCCTCTGTGTCTCAATCACCCAAAACACGAACTCGAGGTCACATCTGCCAGTTTTTAGCGCTTTGCCTTCCCTCTAGAGTTCCAGCCAGCTAGGAGCACGGACGCGCCTCCTTGGGGGTCCAGGCCCGCCTCGAGGGTAATGGCTGCAGGCGCGCAACCTCTCCCAGCCAGCCAGGCGCCCGCACAAGGAAGCAAACCAAGAGCGAAGCCCCTCCGGGTCGACTTGGAGAGTGGAGGGGCCTGACGCGCAGGTATTTTGTGCGCAAAGATTTTCTACACCCCGAGCGGAGGTTTTTCTGTTTTGGACTCTCTTTTTCCCCTCTCACTCCCCACAGAGGGGGTGGCCCGTCTCTCCAGTCTCCAATCCAGGCCCGATTTTTACTTCCCCAGTTCGCACTCACGTTAGAAGGCTTTCTCAGTGGAATCTGCGTCCTTTCTCTCCCAATCTCTTGGGTGTGGTACGGTTTCCGATGGCCTCAGATCTTTTCCGTGTGATGCCTGGGCGTGAGTGCAGGTCCGGAGCCCCCTACTTCTCCGCCATCTTGCCCCTCCTCAGTTTCCTCTCTTATTAATGTCTTACATTATGTATGCTACATTTGTTATAAATAATGAATCAATATTGGTACATGATCATTAAGCAAAGCTTATAATTTATTAGATTTTGTATTGGGTTGGGCTGTTGTAATAAAACACCATAAGCTGGATGCCCTGTACAATAGGAACCAATTCCTACAGTTCCAGATCCTGGAAGTCTGAGATCAAGGTGCCAGGATATTGGGGTTGTGATGTTTTTTTACCACAATAGCAAAGTGAGTGGTTGTGTTGACTTTTGGTCTCCCTGCAATGAAACCAGGTGACATTGTATAAAAGTGAAAAAATGGTGAAAAGGAATGGGCACCAAGCTGAAAATGTGCCGGAGAATCGAGAAAAGATGAGGCTAGAGGTGAAGTTCGAAGCGAATGTGAGTGGGGTTCATGAAGCCATGGTAACATTCATGGAAATGCTGCAGGGGTATGGTTTTCAGAGTCTAGATATGCAGGCAGAGCAGCAGAGTGAAAGCAAGCTTACCACGTACCTCAGGATGGTGCGAGGAAGGGGGAGGGGGGTAGGGTGGATGAAAATGTTCCAGAAGAAGTGACACCAGAAAATATTCACAAATATGTTGTAAGGAGTTCACAGCATTGGAAGTGCAATAATGTTGGAAGTTGATCCCAATTGAGAAATAAGTGAGATAACAGAGAATTTGTTTTATTGTAAACTGTGCAGTTACAAGGAGGCAAGCACTCTGCAAATTTCTCTAGATCAGTCTTTTAAAAAAACCATTCCCTTTTCAAGTTTTCCTTTTTTAAATTAAAAAGTTTAAAATGTTATTTCTTTTATCTTTTTAAGAGACAGACAGCAAACCAAGGAGGGAAAGAGACAAATCCCAAGCAGCCTCTGTGCTCTTCAGGCAGAGCCCAATGAAGGGCTTGAAACCATGAATTGTGAGATCATGACCTGCGCCCAAGTCAGGAGGTGGACGCTTAAATGACTGAGCCACCAGGCACCCCACTTGGCCTTTCACCCTTTCTATTGTTTCAGATGACCGTTTACCAAATGAATCATAGTTTTACTGTCTTTTCATGTCCCTATACATCCATAAGTGTCAGTTGGAGGGTTTCCAATGTGTTGATCAAAGATTCTAAAATTCACAGAAAAAATGTGAACTTTTTGTTCTGCTTATTGAGATCACTTCCTATGGTTTCAGGTCCATCATCATTGTTTCGGTCCTGCACCACCGTGCAGAAGAGCACTGTCTCCATTTATCATGTTGGCCGATCTTAAGTTCTAGGGAAAGGTTCATTCGGATATGAGCTGTGGGGATTGTGTGAAATACAGGAATTGCTATTTTATGTGGGTGGTTAATGGAAGGTGTATTTAATAGACTGACATGTGAGAAGAGCTTGAAAGAGGGAGAGACTGAGGCATGCACATCTGTAGTGGGAAGAAGCAGAGGAGGGATACGGTTTGACTTCCACTTCCATTGGATCACTGTGGATGACACTGGAGAGCCTTTAGAGAGATAGCAATGGTCCAAGATGGGATATTCTTGGCTGGGACGGGGGAGCAGGACAGGAGTGAGCAGAGTGCAGGTTCTGGGTGGAGCTCACTGGTGTGAGGGAGGAAGCTTGCACTCGCACCTGAGAGCTTTTCAGGAATTTTTCAAGCTCGTTATATAACTGTTGGCAGCTTGAAATTGGCCACATTGGGTGTATCGGCACCACAGAAGTCGATAAGCATCACAAATAAGGCTTCTTTTTCTGTCCAAGCATAGAATGTGTAACACCATCTGGTTACTGGACATACATTATGAAAGCAGAATTAAATATAGGATATAAAGAAGGAAATCAAGGAAGGTTCCTGACTTCTGGACCTCCAGCACGTGTACGTGAGCAGAGGGCCAAAAAGGACGAAGGTGATAGTAGAGTTAGTGTTCCCATCACAGGGAGAGGAGGAAATCTTCTCTCTGGGTTTGAGGAGTAGGACAGATTGGCAAATGGGATGAGAATCCTTGCTTTTCCCTTGAAACCAGGAGGGGATTCATTTGTATTCAAGATGGATTGAAGTACCTTAGCAACGCTAGGGAGTCTGGGAGTTGGCAGGAATAACCCATGAGAGCATGGACTTGATTGTGTAGTTCATGACCACAGTCCCCAGGAAATGGATGAGAGATAAACTGGTGTCTGTACAAAGACTTGTTTCTCACATTCTGGTGAGATATCCATGTGTAAGTCTCCAAAGACATTCCCATGGGCCCTGCTCAGACCCAGGTATGAAGACCCGTTCAGGTAGGAATGAATATGGGGTCTAAAGAACGGTGAGAAGGAGCAGAAGGAACTGTGGCAGGTGGGTCTCTGGTGAAGAAGGCATTTGGGGCAGAGTTGTGGAAGCTTCTAGTTGTTTCTTGTCTTAGGCTGGGCCTCTCATGGAATGAAGGAGGCAGCAGAGACTGAGGGTGGCTTGTAGCAGGGGATGAAGGGAGGAGCTATGGACCCATGTTCACATTTCATGATCTTCTCACCATTCCAGAAATGTTCTTCACATGTCTCCTATGTCCTTGGTGCTATTTTCCTCCTGGGACACCTGTTGTGAGAGGACAGGCAGCCCCTGACATGGACTCTGCCTCCTCAGCCTTCCTCCCTAGGTCCCAATCCCCCTTCCAAACCCCTTCAATCTGTCCCCTAGAGGGTCAGAGCGGGAGCTGTCCTCTGAGCAGCCAGCAGGCACCTGTCAGCATTCTGCTAACTGTGGACTCCTTGTGCCCAAAGAATCTAGAGATGCTCTCCACGGGGTTTCCCACCCAGCTGTCACTCATTCAGCCCACTCCCTTCCCAGAAGTTGTAGGTCTCTGTGTACATCCTTTCAAAGTCCCTGACTCCATCCACCTCTTACAGAACCCAATAGTCTTCCTGGAAGTTGGGAACCTCCAAGAGGGATCCCTGAGGCTCCAGGGGACATAAAGGGAGGTGTGTCACCTGCTCTTAACCCCAGGTGGGCGCTGACCCTGTGTGACCTGTAGGCTGCCCCTCCCACTGAACTGGCTCCTTCTGGGATGGGCCTTGCCCTGCCCTCCTCGTCCATAACTCACAGTCAATCCCTTGCTTCTTGTGGACATAGATGGCAGAGACAGTGACGAGCAGCAGCAGCTTGGGGCCCAGGAAGAGAACCACCAGGAGTGGAGTGGACAGTTCTCGATCTGGAAATGAAGGGACAGGACAGAACATTAGAGAGAGATCCATGAGTCCACTCTGGAGGTCTAGGGCCTCCACTTACTCCATCTGAGGAGACCTGGACCCATCAGTGCTCTAAAGCTCATGAATCTCCCCTGTTTGGAGTCTCTAAGCAGATCTCAGGGTAAGAAGTACATCATCACCCTTATCCCTTCTCAGGCTACCATGTGTCCTTCTTGAGGGAAGGGGTGGAGACCTGAGCACTCAGTAACATGTATGTGAGCTTTATTGACTTGGTCTCCACACCCTATGGTGCAAGACTTCCATCCTCTTTCAGATGAGGGACCAGGCTCATAGTTTACAGAGGGCCACAAGGTGAATGGGGAATCCCTCATTGTTGTCCCTTAGGATGAATCTGAGACCATGTGTGTGGACCGGGGTAAGTCCATCCTCTCAGGGTCATAGGGGCGAATGTCAGTGTGGCCTCAAGTAGAGTGAGGACAGTGTCATGTGACATCGCACAGTGCATGAATCCCCTTCTTTGTTCTGCACGGGAGCCTCTACAACCCCAAGTTCTAATGCTGAGGGAGCCCTCAGGTTGGCCTGACCTCACAAGACCTGCTGGTCAGAGAATACCCTGGTTACGAACAGATATGGGGTCTAAATGTGGGAGGGGCTTCAAACACCATTCAGACCACCAGAATCCCAGTGCCAACATCAGGTACTCTCCTTCTGTTGCACATAGATCATTGGATCTGGAGGGACAGCTTCAGATTCTTTGCCTTTTTATAAGGACTGGATTTTGCTCTTAGATTTACATCAAGAAATTAAAATACGTTTTTGAAACACATGGAATAATCTTAGAGAAAGGAGCAAAGGCCCAACATTTTTACCCCTGGAATGTTGGAGCTCAGCAGCTCTCAGCTGGGCGGCCCTTTGGACTTTTTCTCAGTTGAAAGAGCTGCATTTCACATGTTTGCACCTACTTCTAAAGGGTGGTGTGCAGCAGAAGACTAGAAGAAGTTGTTATACAGAGGTTTGTCCCTCTGCGCTATTTAAAAAACTAAAAAATGACGTCCAGTTTGCCTGTTTTCTGTGCAAGTGTGACTTTTCTGTGTTGCATTGTGTTCAATATCTCCCTTTGCCACTGTTGCCTCCTTTCCTAACTCATACCTGTGAATCAGGCACCTCACCACAGTGAGCTTTCTCCCTGCTCATATGATTTAGAGCATGCTCCCCAATCCAGGTGACCTGTGAAGTTGGTCTGCGAGGGGTCTGGAAACCCAGTCTCATGTGCAGGTATAGACCTGGGTTTCAGTCCGCTGGCTGGCAAGCGGTCTCCTGCCTGGTGGGCAGAGGAACAGGGGAAGGTCCCAGCTTGCTATGGTCACTGCTAACACCTCCCAGCGGTGACCTGGGATGGAGTAAGCGGAGGATGGGAGTGCCTGGTAATCTGGATATCAGTTGGTCATTATAAGAACTATGGGGTGGACGACAGTTGCTGAGCATCATCCCTTCAGAGAAAGACTATGCAAAACTAAGACCTATTGATCTCTTGAAAGGTCTAGTGTGAAAGAGGACTTCTGGGCAACAGTGTGGACTCACATGTGTCAGATTTAGAGGGCAGGAAAAGCTGACGATGTATTTGCATCCAACAAAAGTATAAATGTATCAGTGCTACAAAGGATTGAACTCTCAGCTTTAGTGCACCTGTTCTGCCAGAATAGGGGTCAATGGGGAAACATAGGAGATACATATTGAGATGTGGGACAGGGACTTTGGGGACAAGGCATTCAAAGCCCTCGGGGTACTACTGAGTACACGGTCTGCTGAGGACAAGGTGGCTGCTTAGCTCTGAATACAGCTTCTGAATGCAGCGAAAAGCCAATAAAAGGAAAAGAAAGTCTATGGAAACCTGGCTCTCAGAAGTCCTTGAAGAGCAATCCCAAACTGCAAAATCTCTGGGAGACAAAAGAGAAAAATCACCAAATCCAAAAGCACAATCCCTTATGCCACTGCCGGTCCTCACCAGCCACAGGAAAGGGCAGGCAAAGAGGACAAGGGCAGCTAGCCATGTAGCCCGAGAGTTTTTTAGAATTCCAAGTGCCAATATGAAATCCAGCTTAAATGAGAATATATTATAAATGTGTCTTGCACATCAGGTCACAGATCATAGGAAATAGTTTCAAAGTATGCCTGACTTAAGATGGTTGGCCCAGATCTCCCAGAGCCCATGAGTATGTGGTCTCTTTCATAACAAGGTAGACTGTGTGGTAACTAGCTATGGTCTTGAGTGGGTCATTTTCTTGGGTGCTCAAAATGGAGCCAATGTAATCACAGAGACCTTTACAAGTGAAGGAGGGATGCAGGAGAGTGGGAGCAGGAGGCATATTGACCTCAGCAGAGGGTAGTCTGGAACAGGACCCTAGGAGTGGAACAGCAAGGACACAACTCTACCATAGTTCCCCCAGAGGGAATGCAGCCCTGCCAACTCATTGTAGACTTTCGGCCTCTAGAAATGAAAGAAAAAAATGTGTGTTGTTTTAAGCCACTACGTGTGTGCTAATTATCACAGCAGCAATAGGAACCTGATACAGGGAGGCAGGGGCATTTTAAAAAGACAGATGTGCATAAAGGAAGTCGGAATGATTTAAAATGCATAAGTTTGGGGGAAAGGAAAAAAGATGGAAGAGGTGCTGTTTCCAAGTTGAGTGGTGAACGGAAGAAGGAAAACCAGGACAGGCAAACTTAGCATCCTGAAAGAAGAACCTGAATGATCTGAGGACTCAGAACTCTCTCCTCCAAATGCCCAAACCAGCTATCCAACCTCAGTAACATAGCTGGTTATTCTAGACTGAGAAATCATATTTTTTTTAATTTTTATTTTTATTAAATTTCTTCTAATCTTTAATTTTTATTAAAATTTTTTTTTTTTTTTTTCTATTTTTTTTTTTTTTTTATTTTTGTTTTTAGTTCTTTGTTTTTCTTTTTAGTGTTTTTTTTTTTTTTGTTTTTTTGGTCTTTTTTGTTTTTTTTTCTTCTATCCTTTTTATCTTTATATTCATTTCCAGTCTTAGCACACTAGCAAGCTTGCTAGTTCAGGAACACTGGAAGCACCAGGAGTAACATCCCTAGTATGAGCTCCAGTGCAAGGCCAAAGACGAAAATCCTAGCCCAATCCAGTCCAGAAGAGGTGGTGTTGATGTGTCTCTTCCTGCTCTCCTGGTTCAGTACAAGACTGACTCCTGAAAATGACATGAGGTCCAAGAATAGGAGGACTCTGAAAGGTGGAAGTGGGAGGCAGGCAGGCTGGACGCCTGCAGTCTGGAAGAATACAGCACTAGATATTCTGGCTCCATGCTACTGAATCCTTGGACTCAGAAGGAGACCCAGGTGTGTCATTCACAGAAAGAAAGACTAGTATCAGTAATCCTAGCTCCCATTTCAAACAATGAGGAGGAGCAAAATAAACCCAAAGCAAGTAGAACAGGGGGAAAAGAAGAGTAGAGAAAACAATGAAGTTGAAAACAAACAATAGAGGAATTTAATAAAACAAAAGTGAGTTTGTAGAACAGATGAATAAAATTGAAAAAATTCTTGCACTTTTGACATTGAAAAAAATGAAGTATTTCTAATATCAAGAAAGACATAGGATATCACTACAGACCCTACAGATATCAAAAGGATACCAAGTTAGTATTATGAGAATTCTATTTGTAGAAATTGGACAACTCAGAGAAAATGGACCAGCTTCCTTAAAAGCAAGTCTGCTACTGGCATCCAACTTGAAGTGAATACTTTGAATGGCCCTAGCTATTCAGATTCTCTTCATATAAAAACAGAAAACTGTGTAGTTCCTTGTGTTTTCACAGAAAATGTCCTCCGAGCACTTAGAGATGAAATAAATCCAAGTTTGGTGCACAAAATAAAGTCTTAGAAGGCATTTTGGAAAATCTGAATATAGGTCCTATTTTAGCTGGTAGTAGGGAATTACTGTTAATTTTACAAAGTGTGTAATGGTATTGGTTTTGTAGAAAAACCAAAGTCATTAATCACATGACCACACAATTATGGACTGCATTTGCAACTGGATGTGCATCCATGACAAAGTCATTATTGGACACAATCATGCAATACCTCTAGTTTTAAGAGAAGTTGTTCTCCCCTTCCTAACTCTACTCTCCTAGTTGGCAGATTTTTGGACTCATTGACCTAGTGTTGACCCAGCAATGAGGACTAAGTCCTAGGGTATGTTGAAGCAAATGGGCCTTTGAAAGGTCTTCTGGAGCAAAGAGTCCTGGAAACATGGCTCAAACTCCTCCTGATGTTACATGAGAGAGAAATAAGATACTGTTTGGTCATAGAAAGGGGACCCCAAAGGTCCTTGGGAGAATGCCCAGCTGTTATACCTAACACATGTTTGTTCTACAGGCTGGTGGTCTCTGTCCTCAGGGAACAGGTATCCCTTGTCTAGTTTAGCCCATCAGCTGGACTAAGGGCAGGACATCTTCACCATCTGTCCCCCATTGCTCCCTGAGTCCCTTCTGTAAAATTACAAGCTCCCTGGGTGGTTGAAGCAGGAATATCAGAAATGACCTGGAGTTGGCATCAAATAAATGTGGAGCAGGGACAAAGGTGGCTTGTGCTATGAGCACCCAGGGTCTCCTGGGAGCCTGGTCCAGACTCAAAACTCCATCCTCAAGATTCCCTTCCAGAATTTGAGAGGTGCCGGGGGTGAGGATAGAAAAATGTAAGAGGGATAGATGTCAGGCCAAGGTGAGAAAGAACAGAGAAAGAACAGAGAAAGAACAGAGAAAGAACAGAGGAGGGGGTGGCTGGCCTGGCATGGTGTCGAAAGTCCTGTTAGGTGAAGGTGCAGTAGGCAGGAAGCTTGCAACAGGAGCATCTCCCTCCAGCTGTTCTTTCTTTCTTTCTCTAATGCATGTTTATTTCGAAATCTCTAAAAAACTATGTACCCCATGAGGTGGGTGGGTGCGGGAGGGGGCTGATGGGCATGGAGGAGGGCACTTGTGGGGATGAGCACTGGGTGTTGTATGGAAACCAACTTGACAATAAACTATTTAAAAAAAAAAAGCTATGTACCAAAATCTTACACTGGTGTGTGGACTACGGGGAGGGAAGCTCATATCAAAATTCTACTTTATAACTATAGACTTCTAGATTATTCTATAATAGGCATGGATTACTGCTTTTTTTCATGAAAAAAGAAAACAAAATTTGAAGCGCCAGAGCAGTTAGCATGTTAGCCTCACCGTGGGTTACAAATGTTTCCTGGTCCTTCTGCTGGGCAGAGACCACGAGGGTATGGTTTTTGGTGACCGCGGGCTGCCCGTCATGCTGCACCTGGCAGGTGAGAACCACATTTTCCGTGTGGGCGGATACGTTCACCAGGAGCCAGCTCGTCCAGTTAAAGGTCCCATCCTTGTTCTCTATGAGGTTCAAGGCCAAGGAGGCCGTTTCTGTTCGTGACACATTTCCATTCTCCAACCAGGTCAGCTGGAGGTGCTGGGGGTAGAACTTCTTTACTTGGCAAGTGACCTTCACCTGGTCCCCTGTCGCGAGTTGTTGCTGGGCAACCTCCACGGTGGGTGGAACTGAAACAGCACAGAGCAGAAGCTCTGACCTCATGAAACAGACACATCACTGGGGAGGGGCTTGAGATCTTAGTTCCCCCCACACAGCAAGGGAATCACCCAGAACAGTGCTAGGCATGCAGCAGGTGCTCAAACAGCGAGGGTAGTGTTTGCATGTGAATGAAATCCCTAAGCACACTGCTCAGTACTCAGTAGGTGCTCAAGGACTGGTAGCTCCCATTAGGGTAATAATGAAATCAAGATCCAGAGCCCCTGGCATGCAGTTGGAATAGAATAACTAGCAAAATACATGAAATCACCAAGCATATAGTGGTTAGATTACAGGAGGTGCTCCCAATAGCATGGCTATGGGAAGGTAATGAAACTACCTAGCACAGTTCTTGGCTTGTGGTAGGGGTTCACCTGGAATCTGCCATATAAAACAGTAGGAGTGACTGTGACTCTGGGTGCCCGGTGATGGGGAGGGTCTGTCAGGAGTCAGGATCCAGGGGGTGGAAGGCTGGGAGCACAGAGTGGGGGAGGGGCAGGCTGGGAGACTTGGGGGCCAGGCGTGGGCTTGGGCTGGGGGTGACGGGCAGATACCTCGCAGGGTGTCGGACAGGTTGGCCGTCCCACGAAGAGGAGGGCCCCCCTGCAGGGTGTCGTGGGCCACCTCACAGATGAGCTGGGAGCGGACGTCCCCCGGGGCCAGCACCAGCGTGGCGCTGCTGGAGACGCTGTAGGAAGCGCTGTCTCCCTCTGGGTCCACGGTGGTCCGGGAGGCTGGCAGCTCGTTCCCGTTTTTGAACCATTTCAGGGTGACGCTTCTGGGGGAGAAGCCGTGGGACTCGCAGGTGAAGCTCACTGGCTGCTGGGGCGCGACCCTGGCCGTGGGGCCCGACACCACGGGGGGAGAGGGTTTGGCTACGAGAGAAGCATTTATGACGAGTAAGCACGACCGTGGTCATCGTCCCCAACGACAGGTGTGTGACACTGTGCAGAATGTCACACGGATTCTTTTTCAGCCCTTCTGATAGTGCTGGGAGGGCGGGGTCAGAGATTGACCAGGAGTCGGGGGCAGGGCCCACGGGCAATTCCAGCCTGAGTTCCAGGTCCCCGTTGTCGTCCCTGCCAGGGGACTTCCCACCCATTGGGCACAGGAAGGACATTTCTGGTGGATGTCACTCTTGGTCTCCACCGTTCTGAGCTGCTTCCCTTAACTCCTTCCCGTCTTTGGAGAGCGTGTGCAGCAGTAGGTGCAGGGGTGGGGACATGGAGCTAGTGAGACCTGGACCCCCACGACAGCCGTCACCTGGTGCCCAGCCACCTGCAAGTGTGGGGTGACACAGCCCAGTCCCCCCTGTGAGATGGACAGCCAGCCTTTCTCCTTCCTGTGTGGGAGTGAGAGGCACGCAATGCAGACAGTTTTGCTTTGAATGTTAACACTGAAAATGCTTCTCAGAACCAAAATAAAGTCAGATCTATCTTCATCCTAAACTTAATTTTGCCTGAATTTCTCCTCAAGAATTTATGAATTTACTCAATTTTTCAAACTTTCCACAATATTCCATTGGTGTAATCTACGCTATTCCTGAGTCAGAGAGGGAGTGTGAGGGTTGTTCTAGTGAATCTGCGTTCTTCTCTTGGGTCAGGGTCGGGTTGAAAACCAAGATCACTGAGTGCTGAGGTATCAGTAGTGGTTAAGTTCTTCTGCTTCTTTTTTAAATATAGTTTATTGTCAAGTGGGTTTCCATATAACACAGTGCTCATCCCAGCAGGTGCCCTCCTCCATGCCCATCACCCATTTCCCCCTCTCCTCACCCCCATAAACCCTCAGTTTGTTCTCAGTATTTCAGAGTCTATTATGGTTTGACTCTGTCCCTCTCCTTAACTATTTTCTCCCTCCCCCTCCCCCTCCTCTATGGTCCTCTGTTAAGTTTCTCCTGTTCCACATATGAGTGAAAGCACATGGTGTCTGTCTTTCTCTGCCTGACTTATTTCACTTTGTATAATAGCCTCGACTTCCATCCATGTTGCTACACGTGGCCAGATTTCATTCTTTCTCATTGCCATGTAGTATTCCATTGTATAGATAAACCACATCTTTTTGATCCATTCATCAGTTGATGGACCCTTAGGCTCTTTCCATGTTTTGGCTGTTGTTGAGAGTGCTGCTATGAACATTGGGGTACATGTGCCCCTATGCATCAGCACTCCTGTATCCCTTGAGTAAATTCCTAGCAGTGCTATTGCTGGGTCATAGGGGAGTTCTAGTGTTAATTTTTTTAGGAACATCCACACTGTTTTCCAGAGGGGCTGCACTGGTGGTTAAGTTCTTAAGAGCAGGTGGAAGCGCTCCTGTGTCCTGGAAGCAAACACATCAGTGACTCGAATGGGAGAGCATTTCTCCCATCCAATGTGTCGTTATTTCCCAATACCTTCTATAACGGTCAGCAGAGGGCACACATTACAGTTATGTGTAATTGTGAATATATAACTTCCTTTTTAAAGCACATCAAACATACTGAGGAAATTGGAAGGAAGTGTCACTAGTGTAAGTCAAGTCGTACAAAGGTCAGCTGTCCAGACACCCCTAGTGGGACAAGGGATGTGATTAGTTGTGTCAAAAGTGTCCTGGGCCCCTGATGCGAGGCTGACCCATCCTACCTCTCAGCTCCTTCATCCCGCGCCTGCACTGTGCTGGAGGTGCTGCTGTGTCCCCAACATTCATGAGACACTGACCATGTGCCAAGCCCTGCTGCAAGCTCCTTTCATGCATTCACACACTCAGTCCCTGCAGCAGCTCTGTGGGTCGTGTGGTCACAGACAGACAAGGACACAGGGCCCAGTGTGGGATGACTCAGCAGAGGTCATAGAGTCAGGAAGGCAGAGTTGGTTGGGAGCCTAGTGGGTAGGATCAGCCACGCTCTCAGTTGCTGCATGTCGACACTCAAGAATCACCTACCCCCCACATCTGGGGCTTTCTGGACCATCTCTCCAAACCTCAGACCCCTGACCAGCAGCCCGATTATCTCCACGGCACAGATGGGACACAGAGGACCTCAGAGACACTGAGACTAGCCCAGGATCAGACAGGCTTGGGAGGGGCACTCAGGGCTCACTGAGGGTCTGTCCTCTCAGATGGCTCACTGTGTCCCCCTAATGTCCTGCCAAGGCTGGTGCGATGATCCCTGTGCTACAGGTGAGGAAACGGAACCCAGAAAAGGGAGCTTTGTCATAACCGGGAAGTAACATCTGGATTTGGGGCCACCTACTGTATGCCGGTATGCACAAGAGCCCCTCAATTCCTTCCTGCTCTCCTAAGAGGAGTCTGCGATTATGACCATTTTACAGGTGAGGAGGCTGAGTCTGAGAGAAACAAGGGGCTGCTCCTCTCCCCCAACTGCATCCCAGGGGGACTTATGGTGGCCTCCAGCCTTCTCGTCACAACAGAACAAGTGCTCCATCTTCTGGAGCCAACAGTGACTGCCACCATCCTTTCCCTCTGGGACTCTCCACTGCAGGCAGTTCTGGGAAGGGTCCCTGCAGGTGCCCAGGGCTGCGGACCCTGTAGCAAAAGAGGTAATGGATGGAATCTGGAGAGCTGAGTCTAGAAAATGAACTCTTGTTCACGGAGCTCTCTGTCACTTTCTGTCTGCAGAGCCTCGAATGGGGTTCCTGGGTGGTGTTTCTGGGATTGTGAGGACCCCTTTGCTCTCCACAGGCCCCCGCCACTCTCCCCAGGCTGCTCACCAAGGAGCAACATCCCACAACAGGGAAAGACTCCAGATGTTCTTCCGTATGTGTAGCCGTGTCCTAGAAGAACAGGCTCACACTTCTTGAGACGTTTCGTGTCTGTCTGATCCGGGGTGTAATGCTAGCCCCACCTCCTCCAAGGACTCGTTTTTGTTAACACTTACTACTGAAGAAAAGAACATAGCAAGGTTTTCAAGGAGAGACTTGGGGCTCTCTCCACTATGACCAGCACAGTGACGGCACAGAGCAGGGCTGTGAGTCAGGCTGCTTGGGTTTCAATCTTGGCACCTCTGCCCGCTGAGGTCAGGTGCCCTGGCCTTAGTGTCCCCACCTGTAAAAGTGGCAGAAGTGGCCCCTCCCCACTGGTGATTTGAGAAAATGCCATGATGAAGACACAGCGTGTGGCCTGAGGCCCTCCCTGGTTCCTCTGTCTCCATCCGTTATCTTCCAGGGCATCATCTGGGTGGGCAGACGATACAGATCTGCCTGGCGGTGGAGCCTCATACAGCTGTGGTGACCAGGCAAGGGACATACCACTGGGACCTTCTGTAATACCCGCATAATCAGGATCAAGCCACCTTTCCTCCCTACGTCTGAGGGTATGAGGAGACTCAGTTGCTACTGTGAGAGTCAGTCCCTGAATCACAGGAACATTTTCTTTCCAGACACACAGGAAGTGACCAACATCTGGCATCTCTTCTACCAGGGGCGGCAGAGTAACCGGGGCTTCTGTGTCTCTTTTCCCTGTGATATCCTGGCTGTTTATAAGGAAATTCATCTCCCTCTCCCTGCGCTGGGTGCACTTGTCCTCACAGGAGGGAGGGGAACGTAAGCTTCATGAGTGAGGAGGCCTTGCCTATTTTGTTTCCTGCTTCTCCCACAGCACCCAGAGCAGAGTCTGCACACAGCAGATGCTTAGTAAGTGCTGAGTAGAGAGAACACTGGCCACATCGATGTAGGTGCTATCTGGAGACAGGGGTGAGGTGAGTCTTTGTGACTGAGCAGGTCACTCAGACCTTCTGTCCCTCATTCTGGAACCAGAGGGCTGGTAGGAATGGAAAAATGAAGAGCTTGGAGCCTGCTGACTGAGGGTCCAGATTTTTCCAGTGTTTACCAGCTGAGGGGCCTTNTCCCTCTCCCTGCGCTGGGTGCACTTGTCCTCACAGGAGGGAGGGGAACGTAAGCTTCATGAGTGAGGAGGCCTTGCCTATTTTGTTTCCTGCTTCTCCCACAGCACCCAGAGCAGAGTCTGCACACAGCAGATGCTTAGTAAGTGCTGAGTAGAGAGAACACTGGCCACATCGATGTAGGTGCTATCTGGAGACAGGGGTGAGGTGAGTCTTTGTGACTGAGCAGGTCACTCAGACCTTCTGTCCCTCATTCTGGAACCAGAGGGCTGGTAGGAATGGAAAAATGAAGAGCTTGGAGCCTGCTGACTGAGGGTCCAGATTTTTCCAGTGTTTACCAGCTGAGGGGCCTTGAGCAAACAGCACAGCCTCCCCAGGCCTCAACTTTCCTGATCCATGGAAGGGGTTGATTAAGGAGCACCTATAACAGCAGTTGATCCTTATCTGTTGCTCAGACAGTAGAAGGCATCCTTACTGACTTGTTGTCACAACCAGGGGATGAAGGAGGCCCACACCACACTCACCACTCACGGTGACCTGGGTGCCGGGTCCAGACTTAAACTCCACATCAGGGGTCCCTTTCTGGAACTTCACACAGTAGTAGGTTCCCGTGTCTGCTGGGGTGATGTTGCTGATGCGGATGGAAAAGTCCGTGTTGTTTCTCCTTGTGGCGTCTGCAACATTTATTACTCGAGACGGTGGGTGGTATCCTCTTTGGAAACTGAAGATTAACTCCCGGTCTGGCCCCGTCCCCCTGAACCACTCCACCTTCCCGATGGGGTGCAGGGAGGTCACACTGCAGCGCAGAGTGGCCGTCTCTCCGGCTGCCACAGACACCGACCTCTCAGGCTGGATCACCTGCAGCTCCGCTTCACCTGCCACACCTGGAGGGAACACAAAGCAGGTGTTTCTCATCCTGTGTGATCCTGTCTTCTCACATGTTTATCCACAACAGCTTTCACTGACCGAGTGCACACCGTGAGTGAGCCTGAGCTCAGCACGCTGCATGTATACGGCAGGTAACCCACACGATGAGCCTGGAACACGGGACCCTATTACAGCTGAGGACACTAAACCACAGAGAGATCAAGTGAAATGGCACCCGGCAGGAGGGAGTGCCTCAGCCCTCTCTGAAAGCCCCGTGCTTCCCCAAATGACTCTGCATGTCTACCGTCTGGCCCCTTCTGGTGTTACACTTTCTGAACCCCTGCATCAGTAGGACCATGAGACTTCTTTAGACCATTGTGTGTGAGTTACAGTGATGGATTAGTTTTCTGGGCTGTGCATTTAACTTCCAGAACCCTCTATGGATCGACTTCCCTTCTCCACAAGCACATGCACATGCTGGGGTTTGTTCCATCAGCTTGGATAACTGAGTGGCAGTGATGGGCAGAGCTTTCAACACGCAAAAAACATGTACTTGAATGAGAAGTAAAACATTCTTTCCAAAATCTGTTGGGTTTATTTCTCACATCATAATCAGTTTAGTTTCTGAATGCTATTGCAACACATTATTTAAAACCTTAATGGCTTAAGGTGTGTGTGCATGCGTGTGTGTGTGTGTGTGTGTGTACTACATCTGAAACAGAGCACCATTGTGACGGGGCGGGGGGCAAAAGAGAGAGGGAAACAAACCGTAAGAGACTCTTAATGATAGAGAACAAACTGAGGTGTGATGTACGGAGGTGGGTGATGGATGGACTAAATGGGGTGAGTACAAAGGAGAGCACTTGTTCTGATGAGCACTGGGTGTCATATGTCAGTGATGAATCACTAAATTCGACTCTTGAAACCAATATTACACTATGTACTAACTCTCTTGAATTTAAATAAAAATTAAAAGCTCTTAATGTCAAAACCTACAGAAATTTATTTTCTTAAAATTCTTGAGGTCAGAATTTCAAAATTGTGTGGCTGGGTAAAAATCAAGGGTGAGCTGAGCTTCGTTTCTTCTGGAGTTATGGTCTTCATCTTTCCAAATTCTAGGAGCAGCCCATAATCCTTTTCCCTTCTTCCAGTCACTCCAAACTCTTGCCTCTCTTGTCACCTGTCCTTCTTTAACTTTGACTCTCCTACCTCATTCTTAGAAGGATTCTTGTGAATACATTTGGGCCACTTTGATAATCTAGGATATAATCTCCCCATTTAATAGTCTTCAGTTGGGGCGCCTGGGTTGCTCAGTCGGTTAAGTGCCTGGCTTCAGCTCAGGCCATGATCTCACAGTTCGTGGGTTCGAGCCCTGCATTGGGCTCTGTGATGATAGCTCAGAGCCTGGAGCCTGTTTCAGATTCTCTGTCTCCCTCTCTCTCTGACCCTCCCCTGCTCTCGCTATCTCTCCCTCAGAAATAAATAAAACATTAAAAAAATAGTCTTCAGTTTATAACTTCTGCAAAATCTCTTTTGCCATATAAGACAAAATTATTCACAGGTCCTGGGTGTTATACCATGGACTTCTTGGGGGGGGGCATTGTTCTCTCTACCACATATGTATCCCCAGACTTCTATCCAAAAGCAGTTACTGTAAAAAAAAACCTGTTGTGTGAGTCATCATTACACAGGCTGAGAAGTAGGCAACTTACTGGAACCTGGAAGAAAGTCTTTTCAGGCAGTGAAATGGTGATATCGTTTGTGAAATAAAATGAGAAATCCAAACAGAACCAGAAACTAATTTGACAATAAACTATTTATAATTAAAAAAAAAAAAAAAACAGAACCGGGAATCGAGCATTTTCAAACATATAGAAATAAAACAACTCATTCTTTTTTTTTTTTTTTTTACAAATAGTTTTTTGTCAAATTAGTTTCTACATAACACTCAGTGCTCATCCCCAAAGTGCCCTCCTCCATGCCCATCCCCCCTTCCCCCCACATCCATCAGTCCTCAGTTTTTGTCAGCATTCAAGAGTCTCTCATGGTTTGCCTCTCTCCCTTTCCCCCACCATTTCCGCCCTTCTTCTCCCCCTTGTTCCTCCGTCAAGTTCCTCCTAATCCTCCTATACGTGCAAACATATGATATTTGTCCTTCTCTGCCTGACTTATTTCGCTCAGCATAACACCCTCAAGGTCCATCCATGTTGCTACACATGGCCAGATTTCATTGTTTCTCATTGCCATGTAGTATTCCATGGTATAGATAAACCACATCTTCTTGATCCATTCATCTGTTGATGGACACTTAGGCTCTTTCCATGTTTTAGCTATTGTGGAGAGTGCTGCTATGAACATTGGGGTACATGTGCTCCTATGCCTCAGCATTTCTGTATCCCTTGGGTAAATTCCTAGCAGTGCTATTGCTGGGTCATAAGGGAGTTCTATTGTTAGTTTCCTGAGGAACCTCCACACTGTTTTCCAGAGGGGCTGTACCAGTTTACATTCCCACCAACAGTGCAGGAGGGTGCCCGTTTCTCCACATCCTCGCCAGCATCTAGAGTTCTCTGATTTGCTCATTTTAGCCACTCTGACTGGCGTGAGGTGGTATCTCAGTGTGGTTTTGATTTGTATTTCCCTGATGAGGAGGGATGCTGAGCATCGTTTCATGTGTCTGTTGGCCATCTGGATGTCCTCTTTGGAGAAGTGTCTGTTCATGTCTTCTGCCCATTTCTTCACTGGGTTGTTTGTTTTTCGGGCGTGTAGTTTGGTGAGTTCCTTATAGATTCTGGATATTAACCCTTTATCTGATATGTCATTTGCAACTATCTTTTCCCATTCCGTTGGTTGCCTATTAATTTTCTGGGTTGTTTCCTTGGCTGTGCAGAAGCTTTTAATCTTGATGAGGTCCCAACAGTTTATTTTTGCTCTTGATTCCCTTGCTTTTGGGGATGTGTCAAGTAAGAAGTTGCTGCGGTGGAGGTCAAGGAGGTTGTTTCCTGCTTTCTCCTCTAGGGTGTTGATAGTTTCCTGTCTCACGTTCAGGTCCTTTATCCATTTTGAGTTGATTTTTGTGCATGGTGTGAGAAAATGATCTAGTTTCATTCTTCTGCATGTTGCTGTCCAGTTCTCCCAACACCATCTGTTAAAAAGGCTGTCTTTTTTCCATTGGATATTCTTTCCTGCTTTGTCAAAGATCAGTTGGCTGTATACTTTTGGGTCCACTTCTGAGTTCTCAATTCTGTTCCATTGGTCTATGTGTCTGTTTTTGTGCCAATACCATACTGTCTTGAGGATGACAGCTTTGTAGTAGAGGCTGAAGTCTGGGATGGTGATACCTCCCGTTTTGGTTTTATTTTTCAGTATTACTTTGGCTATTCGGGGTCTTTTGTGGTTCCATACAAATTTTTGGATAGTTTGTTCTAGTTTTGAGAAGTATGCTGGTGCAATTTTGATTGGAATTGCATTGAATGTGTAGAGTGCTTTAGGTAGTAATGACATCTTAACTATATTTATTCTTCCTATCCATGAGCATGGAATGTTTTTCCATTTCTTTGTGTCTTCTTCAATTTCCTTCATAAGTTTTCTATAGTTTTCATCATACAGATCTCTTGTATCCTTGGTTAGGTTTATTCCGAGGTATTTTATGGTTTTTTGTGCAATTGTGAATGGGATCAGTTTCTTGATTTCTCTTTCTGTTGCTTCATTATTGGTGTATAAAAATGCAACCGATTTCTGTACGTTGATTTTGTACCCTGCAACTTGGCTGAATTCTTGGATCAGTTCTAGTAGGCTTCTGGTGGAGTCTGTCGGGTTTTCTATGTAGAGTATCATGTCATCTGCGAAGAGTGAAAGTTTGACTTCCTCTTTGCCAATTCTGATGCCTTTGATTTCCTTTTGTTGTCTGATGGCTGATGCTAGGACTTCCAGCACTATGTTAAACAACAGTGGTGAGAGTGGACATCCCTGTCGTGTTCCTGATCTCAGGGGGAAAGCTCTCAGTTTTTCCCCGTTGAGGATGATGTTAGCTGAAGGCTTCTCATAGATGGCTTTGATGATGTTTAAGTAGGTTCCTTCTATCCCAACTTTCTCGAGAGTCTTTATTAAGAAGGGATGCTGTATTTTGTCAAATGCTTTTTCTGCATCTATTGACAGGATCATATGGTTTTTATCTTTTCTTTTATTGATATGATGGATCACATTGATTGATTTGCGAATGTTGAACCAGCCCTGTAACCCAGGAATGAATCCCACTTGATCTTGGTGGATGATTCTTTTGATATGCTGCTGGATTCGATTTGCAAGGATCTTGTTGAGAATTTTTGCATCCGTATTCATCAAGGATATTGGCCTATAGTTCTCTTTTTTTGTTGGATCTCTGTCTGGCTTGGGAATCAGAGTGATGCTGGCTTCATAAAATGAGTCCGGGAGTTTTCCTTCGACTTCTATTTTTTGGAATAGCTTGAGAAGAATTGGGATTAATTCTGTTTTAAATGTCTGGTAGAATTCCCCAGGGAAACCATCAGGTCCAGGGCTCTTATTTGTTGGGAGATTTTTGATCACTGATTCGATTTCTTCACTCGTTATGGGTCTGTTCAGGTTTTCTATTTCTTCCCGTGTGAATTTTGGTAGTGAGTGTGTGTTTAGGAATTTGTCCATTTCTTCTAAGTTGTCCAATTTGTTGGCATATAATTTTTCATAGTATTCCCTGATAATTGCTTGTATTTCTGAGGGGTTGGTTGTAATAAGTCCATTTTCATTCATAATTTTGTCTATTTGGGTGCTCTCTCTTTTCTTTTTGATAAGCCTGGCTAGAGGTTTGTCAATTTTGTTTACTTTTTCAAAAAACCAACTCTTGGTTTCATTGATCTGTTCAATTGTTTCTTTGGTCTCTATGTTGTTTATTTCTGCTCTAATTTTTACTATTTCTCTTCTTCTACTGGGTTTAGGGCGTTCTTGTTGCTCTGCCTCTAGCTCCTTTAGGTGAGCTGTTAGATTTTGGACTTGTGCTTTTTCT